ATATAGAACACACACAGACCCCTCCATGAGGGACACCACCCAAAGTTTCCTCCAGTTACTGCTTCTAGCTCAAAATCTTGGATCTATGCATGATGCTCAGTCCTCTCTGTAAGGTCAGGATGTAGTCCCTTGAGGTCTGACAAACTTATGAAGATCAAGGTAAGGTATCTCCCCTACACCCCCAACACAGTGTGCATGTGCGCACACACACACACACACACACACACACATACACACACACACAGATAAAATATACAGTTATACAGTGATAAGACTGAGCCAGGAAAAATACCATAAGAACTGCCATTCAGAAAAGGGATGAATGGGAAACACAGTATTCACTGGTTGATTGCAATGATGAATTCATGCTGGGAAGGTATTTTTCAGTGAAGGAAGTTCTGTGATTAGACACTGGATCTCTATTTTGGGAGAAACCCTGCTGTCCATTGTTCTTTTGAAAGATTCTTCTTGGTCCATTGTTTTCCATGACCACATCTGAAACAGCCACTCTTTTGGGGGATTACACAGTATTTATAGCCTGTTTCTTGTTCATATTAGTTGGTGGGCTCAAATACTGTTTTAAGGCTTAAACTGTCAGAAGATTTTTAAGACTGGGATCAAGATTTCTTTGGCAATACAGTTCCCTCAGAAATTTAGTAGATTTTTGATGAATTTACATATAGTCTGTTTCACGTGCCAGTAACCACACCTAATGTGCTTACCCAGGATTATTTCCAAGCCTTATTGATTTCTTTACTAGGCCCTATGAAGGTGAGAATTCTGTCTTGATCCATCCAATATAGTCAGAATCCAGAACCTCATCTTTACCTGGCACAAAGTAGGAACATTTGTTGAATATATTGAGTGCTTAACATAGTCCCTACGATGTAGTGGTGTTCAACAAATAGTAGCTATTAACATTCAGTGAGAAACTCGTTGGCATAGGAGACAGTAGACCAGGGGTTTACTTCTAGCTCCTATGCTACATAGCTGGTAATATTGTGAAAGTAATTTTTCTCATATCTTGATCATCCTCACATTGTTGTGTTTTGTTTTGTTTTTGTTTTTTGCACTTTTATGATTCAGACCAAGACTTACTTTTATTTGCACTTTTATATCTCACTCCCAATCCTTGAAGAAGAGGAAAGGATGAATGTTGTGACCTAAAATTCCATGAGAAGCCCATAGGCAGGTCTTTAGGGAAGTTTCAAACTAGAATTGCTCTAATGCTAATAGGATTTGTTACAAGAGGCAGTTGGCGTCCAACCCAGTGAGGTCCATTAAGCACAGGCTCCGTCTGATGCCGTGACATTTTGAACATAGCCTGTTGTGAAATTGGTTAATATCTTTGAGAACTCTGTAATAGTTGATGTAACTTTGGAAATTTATCAGTGAACACATAGCTTTTGAAATTTAATTGTAATGATTGTCACATATGTCTAATACCACAAAATATCCAAGGAAAAGCTGGAGCTGTGCAGTATACAATAGGACTTCTCTTTAAAATTTGGCAAATGACTCTAAGGCAGTGATCATAGACCTGGTTGCACATTAGAGACCATTAGGGTGGTTTTAAAAAATACCAAACCAATGCCTACACCTCACTCCCAGAGATCCTGACATAAATGTAATTTTAAAACTTCCACAGTGATTCTAATTGAAAATCAGTGCTTTAAAAAAAGAAATACGTCATTGTAAGGAACACTTTGTTTAGTTCCCGTCACTAGAGGTGAGAAAAATACCCTGCCTGTATTACATCCTTTGTACAATTTTATACTTGGAATAATTATGGCCTTTCTTGGTCACATTTTTAGATGATAATCATTTGCTTTATGAGGAGAGACGGGTCGGGCAATAGGGGTTGGCTTAAAGGAGGCTCTGTGACAGCCAACGCAGTAACCCTTGCCCCTTCCTTGGCAGCACATCATGCTTGTGCAGCGCCAGATGTCCGTGATAGAAGAGGATTTGGAAGAATTCCAACTGGCTCTGAAGCACTACGTGGAAAGCGCTTCCTCCCAAAGTGGATGCTTGCGGTAAGTGCTCCTACATACCACCCTTGGCCTTAGCCAGTTCGGGGGGCAGGGAGAAGGCATTTCCCACTATAGATGAGGCTGGGGTCTGGAAGACAGGCATCCAAGACTCCTCATGTGAGGTTCCAGCCCTCTGGGCGGTGTCGTTTGTGCAGCCTTTAACTGAATGTTTTCTCTTTGATCCTTGGGCCCTGTGTCAACTTGACCGTTAGGGGCACAAGCCAAATAAAATGGGGAGAACAATGTGAAGGAGAAGAGGAGGTTGAATTCCAAATAGATTGAAACTCCTTTTTCTGCATCCAGGCAGCCCGCACTCTGATTTAAAACCAGCTCTGATAGATGAGGCCCCAACTCTAGGACATCTAGCTTTGATTGCTCCCTTGGCAGCATGCCTGATGTCCTAATGACCATTTCAGCCATTCTGAAATCGCAGGGCCCTCTGAAGTCATGATTTCAGGCCTTGGTCATTCAAAAAAAAAAAAAAGCAGCAGCAGCAGCTCTTATCTCAGTCTATTAAAATATACTAACTATACCTCATTTTTAGTTTTTCCATACCAACGAGTCCAATAAACAGCTACTATACTAGAATAATTTTCCAGAAACAAGTATCATAGAATTTCCTTAATCAGGAACCTGCAGCAACACTGCAATGAGTAGCTTATCAAATGCTAAATGTTTGTCCTGGCTCTATGTCTATCCTACCAGCAGACCCAAGAATCCATATCACTGCTGTCATTTGTTCTCCCACACCTGAGCACTCTGCCTCAGCTCTGCACAGCTAAACTTTCCAGCATTACTTGTTCATTCCTACCTCTGTGCCTTAGACATGGCTATTGTCCCTAGTAGAGATGTGCACCCAGTTGCAGGTCTCTGCCAGCCCATGCTCTGCCCCAAGTCCAGAGCTCAGCCCCAAACTCACCTGCTTTTAGAAAACTTCCATGACCAAATCTAACCCTACCTTGGGAGCTTGTTTAAAGTGCATTTCATAATGCTTTTCAAATGCTGTTTTGGGAAAGCTTTTCAGCGGGTAGCGGTGTGAGTGTGTGTGTGTGTGTGTGTGTAAACACATACTTCATGTCCCCTTTGCTTTTCCTCTCAGTGATTAATTGTATTTTAGTCATACCCCAGCAGAATACTTCTCCAGCTAAGAAGTCTGGCTTTGGAATTAAACATGGGAATTTACTAGCTTTGTGATTTGTGGAAAGACTTTTACTAGCTCTAAGCCTTGGCTTCCTCACCAAGAGCTTCATAAGATGGTTGTGAGCATGAATTGAGATAGGTCATGTGAATTGCTCAGCACAGTGTCTCCTGTCCATGGAAGATCGTGAAACGTGAGCTGGGTCACTGTTGGGTTTCCTGTTGCTTCCTCATCATCGGACAGGCCGGCCTCCTCTCTAGACTATGAGTGCTGCACTTGCTCAGTGCCGTTAACGGCGCTTGATTCCAGTGGTGCCTCTGTAACAGGAACACAGGAAATGCTGCGCTTCCGTTATTATTTTTGTTATTCTACTTCACACCAGGCCCAGAAGGGCACAAATCAGAACTCCATTTTAGTCCTTTTTTAATTCAGTGACGGTAGAGAGATTTGCAAAGGTGGGAATATATGTAGTTTTAAAAAGCCCACTCACTTAAAAATAAAATTGAATATTTAGAAAATGCAAAAAGAACCTATATATACCTTCACAGTGTAAACTGCAGAAAGTAGAGCTCAGTAAACTCTTTTTCAGGGAGTGAGGATATAAAGAAGATAAAGTCTGTTTCAGTGTATCACAATCTCCAGGGGTCGATTGGATGTTTTACATTTATAAAAAGGGCACAAAGGTTTATTTTTTAAGGTTCAGAAACATTGCTTTGGGGTGTTGGGGAAATGACTTCAAGCTACTAGAACAGCCCCAGGGAGCGGGGAAACAGGCTGCAGAACAGTGAGAGAGCAGATAGATTTGTGCTGCCTGCTGCAAACTCTGTTCTCTCTGTAAGGAGGATAAATTGCTCCACCAGCTCCTGCTGTGAAGTAGAGGGAAGAAAAGTGTCCTTTTCCTGTAAGATAGAGACTCTCAGCTTCTCCTTTTCCTTTGCAAGACTGGTTTGTTTCTTAACA